AGAAGAAGAAGAAGAAGAAGAAGAAGAAGATGGGCGGAAGAGGAGGAGGAGAGAAGAGGAAGGAGAAGAAGATGGGGGGGAGGCGGGGGAGGAGAGAAGAAGAAGAAGAAGGAGCAGTTTACTTTCTTTTTTTTTCTTACCTTTCGTTTATCTCGCGACCTATCGCTGAAGAATGGAACAAAAGAAAAAGAAAAAGAAGATAGTCGGAAGAGGAGGAGGAGGAGAGAAGAAGAAGAAGAAGAAGAAGAAGAAGAAGATGATGATGATGAGAGGGGGACGGGCGGCTCCACGGCGATGGGCAACGGGCGGCTCCACGGCGCTGGCGACTCCAAGACGCTGGCGACGGGCGACGGGGGAGTAAAGCTCCCAGGCGATGGCGACGGGCGGCTCCACGACGATGGGGGAGAAAACGGGCGGCTCCACGACGACGGGCGGCTGAACCACGAACTGCGCGGGCGGGGGAAGACCAAGGCCCCGTTTGGACAGCCAATGCAGGCCGCCGCAGCCAGTCGGCTGTTCAAACGGGTCATCGTTTTCCCTCCAAACATCAAACGGCCCTCTGGCCGTCTATCATGGATGATCGACGGCCGGAGGGCCGTCACAATTTCGAAAAAAAAAAGCTGGCCTCACGGGCCCGACGTGCCTTTTTTCAGGACTGGTTGGACCCTGTAGGCCCTGGGGACACCAGCTCACAGCAATTCGGGATCTGAAACCCCCCCCGACAAGGTGTGCTGGGGGTGCCCGGCCCCCAACCGGGCCGCCCGCCCGGCCAGGCCGCCCAGGACCTCCCCCGGGCAGGCGCTGGTCGGCCGGGCGGCCCGGTTCCGTACCCAGAAAAAAACCCTAAAACTCAGTAAAAATCCGAAAAAAAACTTGTTACGCAGAAAAATAAACTGAACAACCTTTTGCCACCGGGTCACATCGACATGTACCTTTTTTGTTGTTGGGCCCCGCTGGTAAGTGGATCCAGCCCACTCTGGTAACCTTGCCATAGGGCAAATAGCCTTTTTTGCCAGCGACGGTTGGCACACCCATGAAATGTTGAAATACAGACCAAGTTCAAATCCAGAATCAACTGGTCAAAAAAAAAAAAGAACAAAAACACCTGCGAAACCCATTATGCGTCAATTTCTATGTGGCAAAAACCGCGGCCGACACACCCAGTCTGTTTTCCAAATGGCAGAGGAAAATGAGACCGCCTGCTGCCACCACAAAAAAAGACATCTGGAAAACTGCCTTGACTGACACATTCTCGTGTCACTGACTCCATTAGAAGGTGCACGGACAGTGTTCGATAGCTCACTCAGCCTCAGACGTCCAGATCGCCTACAGAGAAATGAGAAAAACTACTTGTGGTGCCTAAGCAAGCACCGGAAGTTAGTTAGAAAAGGAGCTTAGGCGCACCCGGCCGCTTCCAAATTAACATCCAAACACCAAGACACTGTTGTAAGGAATAACTTGTATACATACCCCCGTGGTTGAGTCAGCTATAGAGTATAGTGTTGACAAATGCCCGACTCAAAGTTTAAAATAGAAAACCTGACAGGCAACTAGTTTCCGGCTCCGGGTAATTCGCCACATGCAAAAAATGACCGGTGTTAGTCCCCGGGCGGCCCAGCTGGGGAATGTCGCCCGGGTACCCTCCCGGCCGGCCCGGACCGGGCAGGGCCCGGGCAGGGTCCCGGGCGATCCCAGAGCATAACATTCTAAAAAATAGAAAATAAAAAAAAATTAAAAAAATCCGAAAAAAAAATATGTTGTGTAAAATTGCAATACAAACGCCTTTGTTAATTTCAAGATAAAAATAAATGAGAAAACCTGAGTTCCAAAAGACTCCAAATGTACACTTTTAAGCCATTTAGTCACTGTTTATACCCCCCAACCCCCCCTGGGTGATGCATCACCAAAACCGAAGTTAAGATCGGATTCTGACTGCTTGGGCCAAGCACAGTCCTGGCCTGAAGTCTTTTTTTTTGGAGGGGGGGATCCTTGCCTCTTTTTTGACCCGTCTGGTTTTGCCGGGCGAACCCCCCTCTGCCCAACTGGCCCTGGCGACGGCCTAACATAGAAAATGACTGAATTTGATTGTTAATGACGCCCAAATGGTTAACGGGAGCCCCCACTTTCAGCTCCTTAGTTAACGGGTTCAAAACACTGAAATTAGGGTTCGGGGGATAAATTTTATTTTCCTCACTTTCCGCTCCTTTGTCAACGGGTCCAAAACCGAAAATTAGGGTTTGGGCCCTTTGGCGGACAAATGTTATGTTTTTTCGAAAAACAATTCCCACATGTTTTTGTTTTGCTTCAAGGTCGCTGTGTGTCAAATTTGGTGTCATTTGGAGCATTGGACATTCCTCTGCTAACATTCCAGAAACTTCTAAAGATTTCTGAAACTGGAAATGTTTGGCGAAATTTGCATGAAAGTGCAATTTTGCCTTGCCGTTTTATAGTGTTTTTTTTTTTTTCGTTTTTTTTTGCAATAAGTTAATATGGTGTCCACTCTATGAATTGGTGGCAAGTTTGGCTCAAATGAGTTGAAATGACCCTTGGGTTTTGTTATAAATGGTGTGACAAATTGTCTGAAAATTTAGGCCTCCGTTAACCATCTCTCAGGGGTAATTAATAATTATTACGTTCCAACCTTGCTTGCCTGGGCCGATTCGAAGAAGAGCTGCAGCTCTGTACTCTTCTAACATGGATGCATGCAGCGATGCAAACTAAGCCTGCAGCTCACACATCTGACTTGAGAAAACTCGAGGTAACAGGAAGTAACATTACCTGTAGACGATGCACCCTCTCAGAAAGAGTCTTTGCCTCCTGAGAAGCCCGAGTCTCAGCAGAAATGAGCAGTTCCTTTTCCCGCTCAAGCACAGATGCCTGCTTGTTACCAAGCCAAACGGATGCAATGGGCGTTAATGAACAAACGGAAGAATAACTAGCGTCAAACAGATACAATGGCAAGAAAACTGTGCACATTTGCCTCAGTTACATCCTTGTGGTTCAAGGAACAAAGCATCAAGAGAGAGCAACCACCGGAGCAAAACGACAGTTGGACAAAGAATAAAGTTCAATAAACCTGTCCAGCAAACTGAACAACCACGCGGACCAATCACAGACCTCAGACCATTGACAACGCATCCTCACATGCTTGCTGGTTACATGCAAAGCATCAGGAGCAACAAAGATATTTCCCATCCTGCATAACAGGGGCGACCTTGATTCAGATCATGCATGTCCCTTTATCCTATGATACAGACACTTGCAAGTCACAGGCTCCTTCATACTGCTTCAATACATGTTTGCTGAACAATTGAATTGGTCACAACAAAGAGAAAGGACTTCAGGTAACAAGTCTTTCACTAGGAGACAGCAGACTCCTTCGGCAAGAACGGAAGGAAGCATACGGAGAGAGGTTGTTGAGAAGAGATGTAAGACAAAAGGGCAGGGAGGGCATTCGGTTTGCCGACAGTAAGACCGATATGGTTTGCAACTGTTTGAAGGGACACTGGACCCCGTTTCCAGCACTACCTGAAGCTGGGGTAACGGCCCCAGTATCTGTTCTGGTAGACTTGTGAGGTTCCCAGCCTCTCGATAATTCGTAAAGCAACAGAGAAAAATTGAAAGAAAAAAGCGGTTCAGACGAGCGAATCGATTCAATTGGATACCGTCCACTCGGACGCGAAACATGTGACATACAATTTCAATACCCGAATGAATCCACAAAAGATAGGCATACAAACAAACACAGACTGTAACATGAAAACAACAAGAGCAAGACCAGGGGGTCAGGAGTGGTAGTGCAGGGGAAACACACTTCAATTGTCTTTCGTCGCGCCTCATCTTCTGCCCTTGCCACATCCTGAGATGCCTCGCGAAGCTTCCTCTGGTAGTCCGTGATGAGCTGTGAGAATTCCATATTCCGCGAAAGAACTGCTTCCATTTCCTTTCTCTGGTTTTCAACAAGCAAATAAACATACCACTTTAAAGTGATCAACTCCAGAGTCCATACTATGCAAAGACTTCAATGACCGTGAAAAAGATTCCATACATGCAGGCATTTCAAAATGCAGAAGGTATTCAGCCTGCTGCGCATCAGTCAGTGCCTGACCACTTGACTGGGGACTATGTCTTAGACACCACACTGACTGAGTCTAGCTCAGGTTATGCAGGCATTCCAAAATGCAGAAGGTATTCAGCCTGCTGTGCAACAGTTAGTGCCTGGCAACTAGACTGGCGACTGTCTTAGACACCACACTGATTGAGTCTAGCTCAGCGTATGCGGATACTGTGAGGAGCAACCCCACAACCGCAGTCACAAAGTCCACAGCAGAGCAGCCATGCGAAAAGCAGAGTGCCATAGAGTAAAGGACCTGAGCGTGCACGTTTTCCCAAAACGAGATCTCCAGTTCTTTCAATACACCAGAAACTGCCACTCAGTTCTCAACTGTGATCTTTATTATTTGTGGTGTCTCATTGACATCTTCTCAAAACAAATCTACTGCACATCAGGACTCAATTGTTACTCACCTTTGCAGTTGGCAGACATCAAGGCTTCACACGCAAACACATTGTAACTTCCAAGCAGTTTACCGACAAAGGGCAATGTCACGACACAATTACTAACACAGACCATTCCTGTGTCCACATAACTTTGTCAGACACAGAGGATCATACATGCACAGAATCAAGGCAACAAAGCTCAATACTGAGTATTCCATTCAGTTAATGCAACAGCATTCATATATCCATACCCAGTAACAGCCAACAACCATGCTCACAGCATGAGTACGACTTCAACACGATGCTAGGCGGGTTGATGCATCAATCCAATAAATATAGCTGCCTGTTCAGACAGGTGTGCAACTGCTGATTGACATTGACTGTGACTTGTGGATCAGACAAAGCGAATGCAATTCATGATGACAGAAGCATGCATGCAAAGACTCATTTTTGGGCAAATTCTATTTTCATACTACCAAAAAACGAAATTATGTTTTCGTCAGAATTTGCCACTCCAAGAATGATGAAACTAATACCCATTTTGTTTAGTGCTATAGGCGCATTTTTGGCGTATCGTGTTAATTTTTGTGCAAATCAATTTATATATGTTTTGAAAACTAGTACACTAGGCACGAAGTGCTATTGTTTTTTGAACAAGCGATGGTTATTTGATAAGGTTTTTAATGATTTCATAGCTAAATCATTTTTACGTTTTGGGTACGAAGTTTCTTTGAAAACTTTAGACAAAGGTGCTATTTCCATTTTGGGTCCCTATGGAATTTCCACCACATTTCAAAAATTAGCAAAGCAAATAAGTACACTTCAAAGTGGCTTTGTGTATAAACAAAAAAGGCCGTTTTCCGAAATCTGCTAAGTGTCCATACCACGTTATAGTAACTTCATGCTTGCAACTCAGACAGATATTATAGAAAGAGTGGTGAAAGAGGGGGCACAGCAGGGGTAGAAGAAAAAAGTGAGTTGCATATGCATCACCAGTTTATTGTTTTGCAGCATACAGATCAACTGGACAATCATGCAGACCCGTGCTTTGCCAAATCGAGACGACCAGCAAGCAACACTACCAAGAAAGAATTGAGAGGTAAGAAACAGACCAGTTCGGCCACTAGCCACATGGCTCCGTCCAAGTGCATGGACTCCGCAGGGGGTTATTGCAGCTATTCTCACATAACCTGCGGTTCATCGAATCGGCTGCCAGTGCCTGCCACCAAATTGACTCAGAGAGAAATGCCAAAGACTGACACCTTGGCACAAGACCACTCCCTCACCTGGTCTTCCATTGCCCGCTGGAGGGATTCATACTGCTCTTTAGCAAACCGGGCCTCACCATCTGCCTTCCCTCGCTCCACTCTCGCCGCACTGGCTTCGTCTCTGCAGACCAGAGAAGCGCACAAGTGGCCATCAAGATATCCTCAGCTTAAACTCGTGTAAATTGAAGGACAGAAAACAGTTGATGACCAAGACAAGACTGCCAAGGAGCAGAAGATGGGGATAGTCAGGATTCTGAGAAGATTCTGAGAAGTGTGACAAAATGCCAGAGGTTCTCCCAGCCAACAGAGGACAAGGAAAGACACTCCCCTAAATGGACAGATTCATGGGCATAAGGTCAATACTTTTAAACTTCAAAGGCAAAATGACAGGTAAGCGCAGATCCGCATGTGATGAAAGGAGTCGGTCGAGATGCAATGACCGACTGAGCAACCGAGGGGCCGACCGAGGAAGGATCTATGGACAGACGGACGGAGGGACAGACAGACCCAGAAAGACGCATGGACCGACCGACAGACCGACTGATCAACCAACTGACCGACCAACACAGACGGAACGACACACCGGCCTACACACACAGAGNGAGAGAGAGAGAGAGAGAGAGAGAGAGAGAGAGAGAGAGAGAGAGAGAGAGAGAGCCCGGGGAGGAGGGAGGGGAAAGATGGAGAACAGCTATCAGACTTATTGTGTCCACTTGAGATCTTCCATGTACACAAATGAAGAGGAACTCCAGAATTTTCATGCTGGTAGAAGCCTTGTGGGTTCGAGTACCACTAGCTGCACACTAGAAACGAAGAGTGTGACATATCGTACAACTGAGGCCTGCCTAATTTTAACTTTTCTGGTCCCTCACTATCCGTATGGTAGACTTTCTGCCTAGAAGCCTAGAAAAACGAAGAGAGACTCTTGCCATGCTTTGAATTTTCGAAGGATTTTCCAGCCAAAAAAAGGGACCTTCCAATTGTAGTTTCATACAAACCTAGCTTTATCAACGTCCTTCTGCAGAGCTTTTGCTTGCTGTGTCGTCTCCTCACGCAGTTTCTGAAGCTCCTCCTGCACATTCCACAAGAAGGCAAAATCATCATCATCAACTCTCTATCAGACGAACAGAATAAAATAATTCTGAATCACCTGGGGCCAGAAAAAGTTCAATGATGCTATCTCAAGGCCGCTGCCCTTCCAGGGGAGAAAAAAAGGAAAAAAAGTTAAAAAAACGCATTTCCGGCTGAGTCAACGTTTTGGGTGTATGAGTCAGTATGACCAAAAAAAAAAAAAAAAAGTTCTGGGTGTACCGACCTGCCTTCCCCGGACCCAACAATGATGGAAAAACTGGTAGGCGACAGCAGCAGGGTCTCATGCAAGTCCTTTGCCTACTATGACCCCAAGCGCGCGCGCACACACACACACACACACATACAAAGCCAAGAGAAAAACCTGAGGGAAGGGTGGTCCCTCAAACACACTTAAGATAGGCCTCCTGTGACATTGCTATGGAACCTTCTCTTCCTGAGGCAGCCTGGTCAATCCCCTCAGGTCCAGAAGTTTACAATCGCAAACACACTTAAGGTAGGCCTCCTGCTACCGGCTCGTCAGACCACGCGACAGCACCCAGTAAAAAGAAAACCATGGGGTGCAAATAGTTGGCTTCGTGAAAAGCCTAGAAAGCCAGATATGAATTATGCATGCTACCTTTCCTTGCTTTTTTGCCCAACATCAGTGACGTGTCTGTTGATTCTGTTCTGTTCAGTATAATAGCCGATCCAGGAAAAAACAATCGAACAAAAAAGGAAAACCAAAACAAGAAAAAGAATGCTGTGCCGTCATTCCTCTCCCAAGGTGCTACTTCAAGTGCTGGCCACTTCACAGCACTCCGCACATATTAAAGAAAGCTTTGCACTTTCCAAATGGTACCCTATGTCCCGTTTACTCAGCATGCAGGCAATCTCCCCTTCAAGTCTTCCTTGAACATTATTGACAAGCACAACTTCAAAGCATCCAACACTGTAGCGAACATCTTTGACAGGCGGGAAAAGCGCTTATAGCTCAGGCCTTTTCAAACTCTGTCATCGAGTCTCACCTGAACTGATTCGAAGAGCCTTCTATAGTCAGGCGACGCCCCATCTGCGCTCAAAACATAAGACAAAAATGGATGGCCGAATTGCCAAATCAGTGCACTAGAAAACAATGCATGACTCCCATTCGCTGCGCTCGGTTCTTTCCAAACAAGATTCGCTTTCGATCACAGGAGGGCACAAGCATCCTCCTTCATGTCATGCCTCGTTTCCAAGCACAATAGATGCAGACACTTGCAGTACACACTGCGAAGGAAACCTTGCCAAAGTTCAAACACCGTTTTAACCAGTTTGTTCTCGTCATGAGCTTCTCACCCAGCAACTTAACCATAGATAACTTCGAATAAAAAATGAACATTCAACTGCATCACCGACAAGGCTGCAGCAGGCCAGGGACCACCTTCCCCCAAACATAATGCCTAGCCAATATAGCAATTGTATTCAAATTTGCAAAACAAACAGGCCTCTTTTAGATTTGGTAGGATTTATTTCAAAATAGAATTGTGTTGTGGGTCACAAGGGTCACCCATCTGGACTCGCCCATTTGGGCGGTAAAAAAAACAGTCATTTTTGTTTTGTTTTGTTTTTTATTCGTGATCCGTCATTGAGCCCACCCATTGCTGTCCGTATCTGCTGTCATTTTTTTTTTTGGAATCCTGTTGTTACTCAACTGCCCACCACTCTCTACTCCCCTCCTCGTCATTTACTATCTTCTTCTTTTGCTTCCTCACGTTGCCATATCCATGCCGCCTTAACTGCCCACTGCTCTCTACTCCCCTCCTCAGCATTACTATTTACTTCTTCTTCCTCCACGTCACCATATCCACACCTCCTCAACTCCCTATACTGCCATATCCATGCCTCCTCAACTCCCCATAGAGACCTTGCTGAAGCTAGACAGTAGAGAAGAGAGAGGCGAAACGACCAAGTCGACAAGGGAGGAGAGTAGTGATGCAGACACACACAAGCGCACAGAGAGAGAGAGAGACAGAGAGACAGACACACACACACACACACACACACACACACACACACACACACACACACAGAGGGAGAGGGAGGGAGAGAGAGAGAGAGAGAGAGAGAGAGAGAGAGAGAGAGAGAGAGAGAGAG